TATTTGTCATGTTCTTTTTTTGATAGGCACATCCGGTCATGCATGAACATTTGTTTGGAGCAGTGCATGACAATCGTTTATTGTCATATGCTTAAAAATGACTTTTGGTTTCTAAAATAGTAACTGTCTCAATATAAGAGAATTACGTCAATCTTTCAACCTATTTTTATGGAGAAAATCTCTCCCATAAAAGTGTTGGGGGACCACTGAAAAGGCCTATATATATAGTGCACATATATATTATATATATACATATTGTTGATGGTAGAAATTCGTCAACAGAAATATGTTAAATTTCAAAATGGTTTACGTGATTTGGATGATAAATAACAAGATTAAGAGGGATTAAGCAATAAGAACACAAAAAGATTTATAGTGGTTCATATTTAATTCAAGAGCTACGTCCACTGTGAGGAGGAGAAAAATTCACTATCTTTTGAAAAAGATTACAGACTTTCTCTCTCTGAATTAGACCTCTCCTTATTATATATCCTTTGCAGTCTCTGGAAGTTTTCTTATTTTATTCGGGGATATTTTCTCCACATTTTAGGATAATATCCCTAGTAGGTTGAGATTTCTGTCAATCAGTATGATTTTCTCACTTCCTTACTTACTTCATATATTTTAATTACAAATCACAAATCTCTGAGCAAGTCCCTATCTCTCTCTATCTGCATGGACTCGATTTCATAGGTGTTCTCATAGCCATCTCCGCTTACAACTGCTGGTGAGATTGACCTCTTGGTGTTCACAACTCCTTGAAGCAGTTGACCGCCTTTGTACGCCACTCCCTGTACTTGTGATCTACTCCAAAGAGAACCGTCATCCGATGTGGCAGCTAGGACAGAGCTGTCTTTGATCATTTAATGTACTTAATTATGACGTGTCAGTCTCATCCAATGCCCATCTTAGGGTTTGGTATTTTACCCTACAACATTTGGTGCTGAGGTCACCGTCTGTGGGAAGTCAGGAAGTTGAAGGTCGAGGTTTTTATTTCTAAAACAAAGAAATAGTTAAAAGGCCAAGTAAATATGATGGTTCAAATAAGAAAACATATCTTCAGCGCTTAGATCAAAGAACTCTTGTACGGCGTAAGGATCACTGGGATCTGGAAGGGAAAGCAGAAGGCCTGACTTTCTGAGATTCTCTTTAGTTAAGAATGTGTCAATGTGACGATCACTCTCGAGAATTTGAAAAGCCGACAGAATCCTCTCCTTCCTATTCCCAAAAAGTTTTGAGCAATCCTGAGACTCTGCATAGAAAGAAAGAAGAGGTTAGAACCGCATGATAGTGTGGATAAGGGACGTGCAAGGGATATTGCTGGTAGAGCACTCACTTAATCTCCCAAAAGAAGTCTAGACCCCTCGGTGCATGGGCCTACGGTCAGCGGGATAGAGGTAAAATCTACCCTTGACTATAAAAAACATGGGTTTCCATGCATGGGATAACGAGGGAACCCCTTTTATTAGTGTCCCTAATATGGGCTTGAATCTCCCATGACTTCCTAGGAAACACCACTCTTCACTTCTTGCGACGTTACTCAATTCATATATGTATAAAAACTCGTCCAGCGACAGCTCCATGTCAAACCGCTGGCTCCACAGGACCCACATCCCGACAAAGCAATACCAAAAATTAGGCACCAGCTAGGTCGGTGAGATGCCGTGGAGATGGCAAAAATCCTTAACAAAGGGATGAATGGAAAGGGTCATCTCCACGGTGAATGACCTGGTGTAGATGGAGAGGTAACTAAAAGGGGGAAGGCTCGCCTTGAAATTCATGTTAGGGAGGAGATATTCTAACCATATGTCGTCTATACATCCGTCCTTGTACCCCTTAGAATGTCTCAGTTTTAAGTCGTCGGCACTGTAGAATCGACAGTGAATGAAGGCCTGTCAGGATCGCCACTCATCGTCACCAAAGGAATGTCCGCAAAGGAAGCGGAGCAAAGATGGACTCTACCTCCCTTGTAATAAGAGACATTCCCCAAAAGGTCGATGGTTCTGCTCGTCACAACGGTGCCATCATTGTCGTCCCCTTTAACCATACGGTCGATACTATCGGCATCCTCTCTAAGATCCGCCATGCACTCATCAATCTCCCTCATAATAGGACCATCGTCTGTCGAAGAAGACTATCTTGGGGGCTCGGCGGTTGAAGGAGGATCCAGCCTCACAAGAGATGCAAAAGATGGACCCTATCGACGACTATATTTTTTGGGAGCCATAATTCTGAAAAAGAAGAATTAAAGTTAGAACCCTATGAGTCGAGAGGGGAAAACGGGAAGGTCAACTAAGCAGATAGTCCTAAGAGTGATTATCTGAAGCCAAAACCTAAAGCTTAATATAGCGTGAGACGTCGAGCACTCATTATAAAGGTGAATGTTCAAAACGACCTGGAGCGTCGAACATTCAAACATATTGACGAGAGTTCAAAACAACCTAGAAACTCAGCAAAAACTCAGATTCCTAAGTTCCACAAATTTGCTCCAAAATTCAAGAGACCCGCTCAGAACAGTGCGAAAGCACCAAAAGGCAAGTTTTCTATTTCCTATTCTCCTATTCCTAACCATTTTCACGTGATAATCATCATGAGCTAGTACGGGAGGGAACCATAAATGAAAGATTTCCACATGCAACAAACACAGAAAAACAAGAGGGATTGTGAAGAAAAACTTACCGAAACATCGAGGGAGAGTGGAATCCGGAAGTTTGGTGAAGGAATTCTCGCAGAAGGAAGAGATTGAAGGTTTTGGATAAATTTTGGCAGAATCTCGGTGACTTTTCTGAATAAAATGATGGTCTCGCTCAGGAATCACTATTTATAAATGGAAGAAGTCTCGACCCTAGACCGTTGGATGAAATAACCGCTCATCTAATGGTTGAAATGAAGAGTCGTGATCCAACAACGAGAACCAAGGTGGGAAATTGAAGGGACGCAATCCGACGGTCCATATACACCCATTCAAAATAGAGAAGTGACGCTTGGCAGAAACGACTTGACTGACGCGACCGTTGCCCTGCTCGAAAAGCATCTTTTGTGTCAGAGTCATCATTGCCTAGAGAGCCTAAAAGTTGGAATCCTTCTCAAAGAAGCAAGCCCATGGGAGAAGAGTCAAAGCATACACCCTACTTAATCAAAGCTCGAGACACTCCAAAGGAATCCATCGACCTGGGGGGCAAATGTTGTAGGGTAAAATTCTAAACCCTGAGCTGGGTATTGAATAAGACCCACGCGTCATAATTAAGGGCATTAAATGATCAGAGACAGCTTTGTCTTAGTTGCCACGTCGGATGATAGTTCTCTTAGGAGTAGACCGCAAGTAAAGGGAGTGGCGTACAAAGGCGGTTGACCGTTTCGAGGAGTTGAGAACAACAGGAGGTCAACCGCACCAGCAGTTGTAAGCGAAGATGGCTCTGAGAGCACCTACGAAGTCGAGTCCACGCAAGACCTGCTATGAGATTTGTGATTTGTAATTAAAATATACAAAGTAAGTGAGGAAATCATACTGATTGACAGAAATCTCAATCTACCAAGGATATTATCCTAAAATGTGGGGAAAATATCCCCAAATAAAATAAGGAAAGTTGCAGAGACTACAGGGGATATATAATAAGAAGATGTCTAATTTAGAAGGAGAGAGTCTGCAATCTTTTGTAAAAAATAGTGAATTTTTCTCATCGTAATAGTGGACATAGCTCTTGAATTAAGGGTAAACCACTATAAATCTTTGTGTATTCTTACTGCTTAATTCCTCTTAATCGTGCTTTTTATCATCCAAATCGCGTAAACCGTTTTAAAATTTGATATATTTTTGTTGACAAATTTCTACCGTCAACACATATCATTGTTATTTAGTTATTAGTTATCTTCATATTATGCGTGACAAATGGGACATTAGGTTAAACAGTATAGCGTATCATATATATGGCATCAATATTGCAGTTGTATTAGGCGCTCTTTTAAAACTGTTAATTTAGTGTTTTAGGAACTTGTATTAGCCGTTTTTTACTTACATAATATGAGCATAACCATAATGCAATACTATAGCAAAAAGAATATATATAGAAAATAATATAAGGGATTCCAAAATTCTCACAAAAATTATTAGGCTAACATGAGAATTATGTGGTAAGAAATACCTAGTGGTAGGACATAGTAGTTGTATGTCATATCAAATCAGAATTATATTAGATTAATAAAGTATAACAATTTAATGGATCTGTGACATTTAGTTTATGTATTTAGAATCATGATTTAAAATCATTCTCGTTTTACGTGTATTTTTGTGAGAAAAAATACTGTAGAGAACCATGAATCATGATTCAAAATTAAAGACGAATATAGGAAACAAACGTCCCCTTAAAACTATATACTATTCATTGGAAAATTTTTTCTTACCCCACTAAAAGTAATTGTCCAACAAATTAATATTAGTAGTTACCCTGTGATTTTGTTTGGCTTACAGGTAAAAGAATGAATTAAATTAAATTAAGACGACTTTTAAACAGTATGTTACGAGGAGAAACGAGAATATCACGTGCATGACATTGATAAAGCATAATAGATTGCTTTGTGCTTTGGATTTAACACTTTTTTTAACCCAAAAAAAAAAACTCATTTTTCCTGTTAAAAGCTACTATAAATTTAATTTGAATTTCGGTTGTTACATAGAAAAACAAAAGAAAGTAGCCAAGAGAAGCAACAAAGGATTTGCTGGGATCAACAAAAACAGTGTTAGCTAATATATATTACTACTAATCCATGTCCTTGAATTTACACAAGCGAAATTGCAATTAAATTATAGCAGTTTTGGAGCCCATTAACCCTGTAACACATAACTCCAAATCGCTTATTTTCATTTACAATTTAATCAGCCTCTCTTCCTGGCTTTTCTGCCACTTTTTTCCTTTCCTCACTTTCTAAAGCCTACAAATGCAAACCAACAGATAACATTTAGTAAAAATCACTTTTTGGCTAGAGGAAAAAAAAAGGAAAGTTCAGTTGATATTTTGTGAAATCCATTCAGTGAAAGCATTGAGGGTTTTCATGTCTGCCCGGTAATGTTTTTGAGTAAATTCAAGCAGAGAAGACCATGTGAAATCAGGATACATCCTTGGAGTGTTTGGACTGACCAAACTTCTTGGTGGAATTATTAACTTATCCATCTTTGGTGAGAGAAAGAAAGCAAGAGATTTCCTCACTGTGTTGCTGTTTACCACTGCTCTATGCAAGCAACTCTTGTAAATCCCATTTGATAGAGCCTGCAAGTATTATTATTGAAAAGTAAAATCAAAATTTCGAGTTAATTATATGTGTCACATATATACCATAGCATATAACTTGACACAAATTACATGTCACGTATGTAGCAAAATGTTTTTATGTAAATGGGGGAGAGGATAGCTGGTATTAGAGAAGCTCAACACATCCCAACTAGGTTTACGAAAGAAGGCCTCTGCTGTTAGACACTTACCATGAAAGTGTCGCCAATGTTGACAACAAAAGCGTCCGGATTTGGACTTATGTTGTGCCATTTTTCGTCTACAAAAACTTGAAGGCCACCAACATGGTCCTGATGAAGGATTGTTAAGGAAGTCGGATCACAGTGCGGACCAGTCCCTAGTGTTTGATCTGGTTTTTGGCAAATTGGGTAGTAATTTAATCTCATAATCGAATCGTTTCCGCGGAAGAATTCTCTGAAAAACTCTCTGCCAACCCCTAGGCTCATTCCAAGTAATTCCATGATTCCAAGTGAAAGGTTGCTCATGACTTCACAGTATTCTTGGTAAACCTTCCTGATCACCAAAATAAGAAATGGTATAGCCATGAAAACCGAATAGAGGATACCCTTTAGCTCAATTAAGGTCTATAGCATATTTTTATTATTATTTAACATGATCACATCTTGATCATATACAAAAGAATTTCAGTTAATCAATATGCTTCTGTGTTTCTTACCCCAATTGTCTGAAATCTTCACCCATTACATTCACAAAGTAGTCCTCAACAATGTCTGGAAACTGCCCGCGGGCGCAGTATCTGAAAGAAAGGGTTTCCTTCCATGGAAGTTTGGTTGAGAACCTGCCGGTGAAACTGCTGGCATATCCACAGTGTTCACCAATTTTTCTCTGAGCCCTCTGCTTCTCTGAGAGTCTCATTCCGAAGAACAAGTCCATGTACTCGTGAGCTTTTGCGATGAGTTGGGAATCAATCCCATGATTGACAACAAGGAAAAAACCATGCTTTTTGCATGCCTCATTTACTTGTTGAATTGCATTGGAGATTGCCAAACTGTCTCCACTGAAGAAGCCCTTCAAATCAATGGGAGGGATCACAAGTTCTGGTGGTCCTGAGCATGGCTTTTCATGGTCGGGCCAAACGAATTCTGAGGGTATGTTTGATTGGTATTGAAGGATTGAAGCGTTAAAAACCAAAGGGTCTTCTTCATTGTGAGTCTTGGTTTTAGTCATCAATTGTAGAGGAGGTTCTGAACGAGGTATGATAATTGACATCTTCAACAATGCAAGGTTGTTTAGTTTTGTGTTAAGGAGGGAGAGAAATTTAGAGAGAGAACGTGTTTTTGTTTGTGTTTGTTTAGGAAGAAAATAGAGAAATGAAAGTTGGGTATTGATGAGTTTGAGAAGAGAGTTTAATAAGGTAGAGAGAGAAGAAAAGGCCAAGGCCCTTTTTTCATTGGGAAGGTCGGTATACAAATATGGGAATCTTATTGTTTTCCACTGTTGCGTCATTCCTCTAAGTCTAGCAGTGTTTTTGGTGTTGGTTTTTTATTTGTCCCCTATCTATGCTTCTTTCTAATTTCACTTGCTAAAATCAAGGAAAATTAACCACATACAACAGAAACTCCAGCTCTTCACTCAATCCAATTTTATTTTTTAAGAAAACATAACTAATAATTAAAAGAATGTGAAAGAAACCACCTTGATTTGAGTATAAGCAAGAGCAGTTGCAGAATAATTTATTGAGATTAAAAAAGAAAAGGAAAACAAAACAAAAAAGAAAAGAGTTTAAAAAGGAGTCTAAGAGAAAGAAGGTTCTCCTCCTCGGATGCCATTTGCCAGCAACCAGAATCTTCAAAGATACGTTGGGTCTAGTTCACCTATTAGGTATAACTTTGTTTTATTTCTTCTGCCGCATATATCTACATATATATATATATATATATATATATATATGCATGTGATATATACATACTGCTCAAACCATGTTTCCAAAATTCTAGATGGCTAAGATCTAGCTGGATCAAATAAATAAATGGGAAAGACACACACACACAAATATATATATATACATATATATATATATATATGAGAAGTATGCTACTGCTTAGTGAGGCATCAGGCAGCTCTTAAGCTTACATGGACATGATAAAATTCCTAGTCTCCGAGTCCCAATCTTGGTCTTTTGTGGGTATCTAAAAGGTGGGAACTGCCCTTAGGAGTCAGAACCGTGTTTTTGCTGAGGAAGAAATGTAAAGAAAAATGTTTCATTGATTTAGGAATGGGAACAAAAGGGGAAAGAAGTGACCGAGGGACGCATTTTGGCCCTAGCAACTTCGTTTTAAGACCTTTCAAAGCTCCCATTCTGTTCCCATATTTTCTACTTTTTTAGCCCCTCTATTACAGCATCTTTCTAAAAGTAAAAAACTTGGGACTTGGGAGAATTTGTAGACAGGACAACCCAATGGTAAAAAGTTTACTCTCTTTCTATCTCAGCCAGGAAAATAATGGTAAAAAAATCAGAAATCTTACCCGACATAGGGGAAAAAATAAAAGAAAAAGGAAAAATACAGACAGATTACAATTTACAGGTGAAGATGAGGCAGGATATTCTTTTGTGATCTTTTAATAGTAATAGTCCATAGAAACCAATACGGTGGTTAAGTGGTGGTGGGATAGATTCTACTTTCCAGAGGGGGATGAACATGTTAAGCCTTTTGCTGTTGGAATGGTTTTGGGAGACTAACATGAAATTTGGAGCCCCATCAAATCTGTCTTGAGCCTTGTAATTCTAGCATCTTTTAATTATTCTGGCTATCTGTCATTAACTTTAATGTTGATCACACCCCAAAGGACTAATGTATGGATGTGAGAAACGCACGCCTTACCTCCATAATTAAATATACTTATATACTCAAAATCCAAATTTTGGCCAAATCTTGTGCTTGTCTTGATCATAAACAGAAACACCATTACCTTTTATTTTCCTTGGATCCAAAAAAGAATTCAGTTTATACGTATGACTGCCAAAGTATTCGAGAAAGTATCCACTCAAGTATTCTTTAATTAGAAACTCTAAAGAGGCCAACTCACTCACGAATTTCCGGATCATATTTGCCTATTTTATTCATTCACATAACAAAGAGAGAGGGAGTGAAATCAATACACTAGTTCAATCCAGTAACAATCAAAATCATCTATTTAATTTATAAAAAGAAAAAAAAAATGTGTCATATCTGACTTGGTAAGTAAATTCTAGCCCTGGAATCACAATAAGAGTAAAATATAGTTGTTAATGTTAATCTAGCAGTTATAAATGAGCATAGTTTGCAAATTTCATTTACAACTTCTGATCGGACTTTTACATTTTTGTCTTGTTTATAAACTTTTGAAATTTACAATCCAATATACACTACCAAACCAATGCCATAAAAAGTTTTGCTAAGGTTGAACAGCAATATGATTTTAACTCAAATATGTTACCACTTTTAACTTGGTATCATAAGCTTCTATTTTGTGAATGATTGCAATCTGGGAAAAATATCCACCTGAATGACCACAACAACAACATAAAGTTTTAAAGTCAATTTGTCAAAATCTTCCCTTTCAGAATCCATTAATCAGTGGGGTTCTGACATTTTCTCCAACATAACTTTGTGGAGCAGACAAATCACATTTTTAAAGCTCTTTTGCAAAAAGCCAATTGATTTTATTGCTAGAGAGGCTGAATGTCAATTCATCGAGAAATGCTCAACCACCATACTCTTGCACTTGTGGTCAATCAATTGACATACATGTTGCTTAAGGGATGTTTACTTTAGTCATCCATCAAAAGTTCCCCAAAAAAAAAAAAAAAAAAAAAAAAAAAAGAGTCGATTTATTATTCTGTGTCTCAATCTGAAGATTTTACAACACCAATAGTCCAATATACCTGTCATTTATCAAATCTGTTTAAAACGGTAATCACGTACAACTTGACTGACAGTTTCTTCCTCTTTAATACACGTAAAGTCTATACAAGGACATAAGAAGATCTATAACAAAACTTCCAAAACAGGTAAAAGGAAATTCCTGAAAGGCAAACGCACTGGACATAACCAGTGAAAAATCTGGTAATCCAGGGGGAAAAAAAAAATGAAATAGACTGGCAAAAAGAATCAGTTAAAGTCCTATGCTCTCGATAGGATTCATTGCATGAGCAAAAAGGATTCTCTACTGAGCCCAAATGAAAACCCAGTCCACAATTTAATAATGGGCCTCAAGCCTGGTATGGTTTTCAGTTTTTTGTACGTAGAATTTGACATTGTACCCTTCTTTTCTTTTTTTCCTTTGGTCAAGAAATCTATTACGTTAAAAAATAAAATAAAATAATAAAAAAATAAATTCTAACGTATAAATGAGCTTATGCTTGTGAACCTAATAAGACACGTGAAAATTTTCAGCAACCTTAACGTTAAACAATAAATCCCGGCATCAATGTTTAATATTAATAATTCGTAAATATATTATACAACTTATTTCACAATACTTCTTTCCAATTAAAGATCACGTCTAGAATAGTTGCATCATATATTCAGCAGATTTTTAATTGCAGAGAATACTGTTATAACGAAACGATTCTACTGCGAAATTCATCTAAATAGACAAGAAAAAGGAACATACAAGTTGCATTTGCAGTGAGAAAGTTGTTCAAAGAATATGGCAACTGATATCAATTCATATTACCAAGTGTCCGAAACCAAATAGCTTTTTGAGCTTTTACAGGTCAACAAGGCAAAGAATCTGTAGTTACCTTGTCCTAATGGGTGAGTAGTACTAACAAATCGAATGAATCACAAAGAAGAATAAACAATGTGGAGAAAAGAAGGAAAAATTGGGGGAAAATGAAAACATACAGTAAGTGAAACCCATCATACCTTCTCCTCAAACAAACTAGAGTGCCTATAATATGGCTTGAGATGCCGAGTGAGAGAGAAAAATAGAGCATTTTACCATATTATGATGAGCGCCATTAAAGGCTTATTTATTTCATTCACTTAGCTTGCAGTTGCGAAGGTAGGGATGATCATACTTAATGTACTTGGTCCAGTATGGTCGATACTTTGTCATTGCCAACTCCAGCCATGGTTTCATGTTACCATTGTAGTGTATCACTGCTGCATTGTCAATCTCTGACCGATCAACACTTGGATTGTAACCCAAACCAAGAACGTGCCATGACTTTGCAAGTGGATGTGTCAAGCCGTAGAATGTGATAAGCCCTGGTGGTAATGTTCCGAGCTTCCAAAGTGCCCTATCTTCGTTCTGCATATGAAAACAGCAAATGAGAAGGAAATACAAAAATACACTGGAAAGGATAGATAGATAGTTCCAAGAGAAATGGCAGACTACCACATGTTTCTCTCGTTTTTTATGCGAACAATTAGTAACTTGGGAAAGGGAAGAAAAAAAAAAAGTTGAGAAAACTCACCATGTTCTGCCACTTGTGATATATGCCAGTGATATCCTTTTTTTTCCACTCCTTGAGATCAAAGATGTTCATCCCGTACGCCCATCCACATGCATTTGGATCGAAGTTTCTTGCAATATGAGGATTCGTGAAGTTTAAGTACTTGTCAAATCGGTGGAAGCTCTCACCACAGGTTTCCACAGCACCATTTACTTTTCCATGAAGATCTACAGACCACAACCCAGTCAGGTCTTTGTGGACAACAATGTCATCATCAAGAAACAGGATCTTATCCAACTTGGGATAAACCTGTGGGAGATAAAACCTCAGATGGTTAAGCATAGAGAGATACTTCGGGTTCCTGTACTTGAGATTTGAAGCACCAGATGCAAGTGTTGTGGGATGGCCAGCCTTAAAATAATACTCTTTCATCGCAGCAGATTCAAGCTGCCGTAGAACTGGGCAGTATGATGAGTTCAGCCACTTAAATTCATCAACATTTTCAACATGAATGGTGGCTTTTCCAGGAGGATTCGAAAGAAACCACATGTTCATAGCTCCAAAATTGAGTTTATCGGTAACAAGATGGAATACGTGTTTTGAAGGATCCTACAAGTCAAACAAGATCCATATTCAAGTCAATCTATATAACAAATCAAGTTTCATGAGAAAAATACTACATATTCTCAATTGTAATACACAGGTGGGGAACAGTAACAATTCACAAGCGGTCTGACCCTTAGGTCAAAAGCATGGTTTTCAATCACTTTACACGTGCATATTTCCTATGAGTAGTGTCCACCATAACAATGGGCCCACTTATGGAAAAAAAGTGGCTCATAATAAACAGATTTAAGCACCCAACATCAATAGTCTCCAGTTTATTAGGGGGGGGGGGGGGGGGGGGGAGTCAACACAAAGGATGGGCGGACGGTTGGGGGGGGGGGAGGGGGGGATAGCAAAAAACATATGCAACTTGAAAATCTATTGTGGTGTAAGAAAATTAACCTTCGCATTCATCACAGTTGAGTTGACAACAACCGATGCAGCCAAGACATTGTCTGAGAAAAGTGCATAGTGGTACAGATTTGGATTTTCTAAATTCTCCCTTCTAGGGAACTTTCTTTTCTCAGGAGGAAGGAGATAGTAATCAATGGTTAGGCGCATAGACAAACAGTGGATGCCATTTGGAATTGTCTTAGCAGCTAACTGACTCAGGAATGTGCTCTGCTTTTTCAAGCTCCTAACTTGTTCATCTGCAGATTGAAGCATTGCTCTAAGCTTCCCCGTCACCAATTTACAATCATACAGTTGCTCTCTTGCTTTCGATAGAAGGTGGCCCATAGCCCTTAATCTTTGAGGTGCACTAGAAGCAAATTAGGCCATCAAATAAGGTAAAGAGTTTTACAAATGATTAGTTTTAGTAAGGTTTTCAGTTCTAACTATCAGTTCTGAGAAGGTAAAAAGGCAGATGTACAAGATGTTATCCACTTACCTTTGATGTAAATCAGCATCAGCACTAGCCTCTCCTAAGGCACGCTGGCTCTCTTTGAGGTGAGTCTGTAGTTCTTGAAACAAGTCGAGCTTGCCCTTCATCTTTGCAATACTTAAATAAACTCTTGCCATTATTATTTGGTCCCGCATCAAGCGTACAGTAGAATCAGAATTCTCGTTCTCATTCTCTTTCCTCCAAATGCTGTATTTTCCAAGAACAGCAGTGTCAACAGATTTGGATCGCTCAATGGCTGCGTTTTCAAGTTTTAAAATTGCCTCGTCATCCTGTTGTACCAAGTCGGATGCCCGCTTTTCGCGTCTCTTCTCTCTCAATTGCTGCAGAAATGATTGAATAAACAAAGATAAAAACTCCAACAAATGCACATAACTGCTAAAACCAGGATGGACAGAAAAAAAAACATAACAATAATTTAATATTTCCTTTCTGTGTTGGAAATCATAAAGGAGACATTTTTGACCATGGAAGGGTATAAAGATCAGTGCACCAAGTATGATTATTACCCTTCGGGCTAGTTTTGCAGGTGAGTCCATTTGACTGTGATCATCTGAACAAGATAACAAAATCAGAAAGAAGGTAATAAGGTGTCATTGACTTAGAGATGAAAAAATTATAACAAAAAAGAAAAAAAGAAATTGCCACCTGAAGCGTCATTCCCTCTGACTTTAGGTGTTTCTTGTCTAACATCTGGAGTTGTTTGGTTCATCTTTGTGCACAAATAACAATAACAAACAATGCACAAAAAACAATAACAAACAAGTCAGGAATTCTGGAAAAAAAAAAAAAAATTTGAGATAGCCAAGCAGAAGCAAGAGCGTCGCAACCTCAGAATTAGTAATAACAGAAGAATCCACCCCAACAACTTTCCATGAAGCTGACAAATTATTTTTTCTAAAAGAATCAAGGCTATAAGGTCCCATGTCATTTGTGCTGGCTATGATTACATCAATGACCTGCATTGCAATCAATTTACCCTCTAGTAAGAAAATTAAATGAACAGAAAATTATTAACTTAGAGGACGTTTGGAAGGGAGATTCATGCCATGATTCGAATCATGGTTCGTGGCTCGTTACAGTATTTTCTCTCACAAAAAACATACGTAAAACGAGAATGGTTCTTAATCATAGTTCTGAATCCATGAACCAAACGTCCCCTTAAAGTCTTAATTTAGACATGCTTTGCAATCATGAATATTTTGCAGCTCGAAAAAGATGCACTTACCTCTTTTGAGAAAATAGATTTTATATGTTGCATTGCCAGCCTCTCTCTCCAAGCCGCACCCTGCACCATTCAATGTTGGAAAAGAATAAATAGAAAGAATGTGAACTAAAAGTACTTTCATACATGCATACATATGTACCTTACATGAAGATGGGCAACATATAGTACAAGCAAAGAGGATAAACACGCATACATATACATACCTCAAATGAATATAAGCAAAACTATACAATATACACAAAAAGGAAGATGCAAGCATTTAATTACCTGTTTCCCAGGGCCAGGTAAATCATTATCATCTGCGTCAACATGAATAATCAGTATTATAAAATGAAGAAAATTTGTGCAACATGCATGTAGTGTATGCAATCAAGAAATCATACAAAGACTAATTCACAAAAGGTAGACGCAATAATTGGATTTATCACCTTAGTCCTTACTGGAAATGTCGACTCAGCAGGACCTAAGTAAAACGCAAGTAAATTCCAATATATATAGGTTACTGGTGGTTTGACCACATAGATATTCAAGATATGAGCCCCAAACATGCTCTGAGCTTACGTCTATAGCATAATGGCAACCCTAAAAATGTTCTTCAATACAAAATCCTCTCTGTGGAGACCAAAGATGCTATAATGACAATTTCTTATGCCAATCTTCTCAAAGATTGACAAAAAGAATCCAGTTTGATGATTATGTAATTGAATGATTTATTAGCACATATATATGAACCTAAGCTAGACACAAAGAGTAGAATTTTATGCATGCTTGTCGTCTGAAAATAAATAAATAAATAAAACTTCAAAAACACTTTGGAATGTAATGAAGGATCAAAGTAATCACAGATGCGCCAAATAACGCAATATTGAATCATTTAACATAAGCGTAGAAGAACAATTTCATTGCAATTGCATATAACCCCTGAAGCGTCACCACATTGTTGATGGGCTATTGAATTGTAAACAAGTTGCAAAAAGACAAGGGGCAACTTGTCACAATTTACGAACGTGCACAAGCAATCAACAAACCAAAAGGCTTGCTGCCCAGATTCCAATCGACCAAAAACATAAACTTGAATAAAGATGCAAAATTTCAGTAGTCAAATCAACTCCAGCAATAAAGGTGACAGCAGCAGCACGTAGGAAGAGCAATGTGATTTGACTCTTACAAAAAAAATTCAGAGGCAAACTTAGAAAGAATACAAAGGAAATTTCATTGGGATGTGGGAAAACGCTAAATCAACAATTCAGACCTAATTCATTTCACTTATTAGAGTTTTTAATTTTAATTTTTCTACAGTTAAAAAGTTTTTATAAAAAATCACATCTAATTTTTTTTACTATAATAAAAAATTCTCACATAAAATCGCGTCTAAGCTCAAATTAAAACCTCCAATAACAAGGCTTCAAATGGCTCGCAGGCCAAAATTTCCAAAAAATGAAAAATAAAATAAGCTCGCCAAGTTTCCGTGTCAAATCAACCCCAGTGACAGGGGTATAATCATGAAGAAATTCAGAGGCGTATCCAGCAACTCCGACTAAAATCCACCATGAAACTTCGACATGAACTCAATATCACCACGATATACGTAATGCATTTTCTTTATCCTCAACTGGGAAAAATACCACTAGCAAATTCAACTAATTAGGATTAAATCACTTCCAGAAATACGAAAGTAATCAAGAAATTCTCTTTTCTTGCTTGAGCAAAGAGAAATGCAACTGAAAAGCAACAAAGCAACTTCCGAAATGCGAAAACCTCTTGTAATTAGCAAGAAAAGAAGATTACTCCAGAACAAAGATGCGCATAATTGAGATCTATAAATCTACCATAATAATTACAAAAAGAAAGATTTGACAAAAGAAATCAAGGAAAGGCGAGGAAAACTGACGAGAAGAGGTGTAGAAGCCACGGCCGACGAAGAAAATCAAGGGCGCGAGAAGCAGCGAGAATAGAACAGCAATGGCGAGAGGGAACCGAGATCTGCCACCGCCTCGCGGCCTGTGGACGCCGGCGCTGGGCGGTCCCCGCTTCGAAGCCATTGCCGATCGGAATCTGCAACAACCCAAGTATTCCAGGCTCACAGAGAGGGAGAGAGAGAGAATATTCGAGAAAACAAGAGAATTCTAGAGAGAGATTGATGAGAAGATTTACCTTCACAGAGAGATGTGAGTTCAGGAATGGAGAGAGGAATGCTAGTGGAAATCGAAGTCCATGTGAGACTCTTCGGAGGACAATGCGGAGAGTGATGAGAGAGAGTAAGCGGAGATTGGAGTGTCAGCGAAGAATTAGTTTCCTCTGTGTGTGTGATTTCAACTCCCCACTGTGCCCCAAAAATCTGAGTTTTCCAGAGGGAGAGAGAGAAGAGCGATCTTCTCTTTTTTCTTTTTTTAATTTTCGGGGATTTCCCTTTCAACCATCTCTTTCCTTTCTTCTGTAAATCGGTGTATTTTATGTTTATATTTGTTTTTGTTTTTGTTTTTCGATTTTTGGGATATTTTCACTAATAAGGGTCCTATTATTGCGTTTTAACAGTTGTCTATTACCCGACAGAGTATAGCAGCACGGCCGGGCGGAAAAACAAATCTGAAAAATAATAATATTAAAACGGAAAACCCATCTTTGGATAATAAATATTCTATATTTTTTTGACAAAGTATATTTCTATATATAATAAATACTCTTTTTATATTTTTATTCTCATAAATTAGAAATTATTTTAAAAGGGAGAAAAAAATAAATTGTTGTTAACAAGGTACTCAATTCAAAATTATTTATATTCAGCAAAAAAACAAGAACTTTTTTTTTTAAATCTAAAAAGAAGAATTTGTTTAGTAGTTTTTGTTTAGAACACATTTACAAAGTAGAGAAGTGTATTGTTATCTTTAAAAACAAAAAGTACTCAATACGATTTTTTTGAAATGATACCAATTTGTTTAGTTTTTGTTTACAAATTAGAGAAGTGTAGTTCTATTTTTAGAAACAAATTCATTTAAGGAAATATACAATTTTAAGGGAAATTTTCATTCCAAAATTAACGGGTGCGTTTGGAATTGGTTCCAAAACGTTTTTATTTTCTGTACGAAAATGAAAATGAAAACGTTTTTAGTTTCATTTTTGAATTATTTCTAAAAATGCGTTTGGTAGTTTTATTTAGAGATTGATTTCAGTTTTAAAAAAAACTGAAACTGCGTTTGGTGGTTTAATTTTTGAAAACATGTAATAATATATTAAATAAATAATATTATTAAATATATTAAATAAATAATATATTAAATATATTAAATA